GGGTCTCAGGTGGTTTCGTTTCACCATGTGGAGCTGCTGTTTGGGTGCATGCTGAAGATTTGGGGTACATAGGAGAATGAAGACTGGCCTATGGAGCCATTTTGACCAAATTAAGTGCACTTGAGTGGGAAAGAGCACTTGCTAGAAGGGCAGCTAGTTCAGGTATGCACAGGAGGTCATGCAGGGAAGTCTAAGGCCAGGAAAACTGGCAGAATTGAAACATTTGATTGATTTAATGTTGTCCCATATCACTATCCTAGAGAGTGAGCGACCAGGTCCTTTGGGAGAGTCATCTATGGCGGCATTGCCAGGTACGCAGAGAGCTACACCACTGGGTGTCGTAACACCGACTGGGCAGCACTATTGCTCAGGAGACAGGGCGCCAACAGATGAAGCAAGCCAGGAGCCTGGAGGTTTCACGTCGGAAGCAAGAGAGACGAGGGTGAGAAAGGCAGCTGGAGAAGTGGTGGTTGGCAGCCCGCCTGGATCAGAAGTAGTCAGTAGTGGTCCAGAGAAAGTTGCAAGCCTTATACCAGGTGAGCCACCACATACACACAGAGTCGCACAGGGTGAAAGTATCTGGCAAAGGGGTACAATGAGCCCACATGGGTTAAACCAAACACCCATTTCTCAAGTTATTTCAGATAATGCAAGGGGGACACTGCTGGGGGTCTTGCCCAGACTGGCTTCGAAGCTCTGGACGGTGCCCTACCCTCAGTGGTCCATGCCCAGTCAGTCCCCAGGATTCTATGAAGGGTTCAGACAACTGTCCCTTCCCCCCATTCCAGATATGGGACATAATTCTGTTTCTCGCAGGGATCTCCCTTACGGGGATCAGCCCCTGCCGCTGGGGAATCATATCCTACCACCCAAAATTGAAAAAAATCTAGAGGAGAAGAATACGTTGACATTTTTGAATTTTTAAACAGGCAGTTAGAAGAGAAGAAGGGAGATAAGGAAGAAGAGGGTTAGGTTATATATAAAGAGAAATTTAGAAAAAAGAAGCCTGAGATGTGCTGGACTAAATAGCCTCCAGTTTTTTAAAATTATGCCAGAATCATTGTGAAGGCCCAACCTTCGCGTGCCTTTTCACTGATACAGGGCTTATGCTGGGTTGGCTAATTCTGGAAAAGGGCCCCAGCCCAATTAAAGTTTCAGTATTAGAGGACTGGCTGGACCTACATCCAGACAAAGAAGCTGCCAGATATTTCAGAGAAGGATTTAGGTATGGTTTTAGAATCCCATTTCAAGGTAAGAGGTTAGCCACCATGTCCAAAAATTTAAAGTCACTTATAGGAATGGAAGAGGTGGTAAAGAAAAAGATTTGCAAAGAGGAAGCAGAAGGGAGAGTGCTAGGCCCATTTAAGGAGCCACCAGTTCGAACTCTGAGGGTCTTCCCATTGGGAGTGGTGCCTAAAAAGGCATCTGGTGAATACAGGCTTATCCACCATTTGTCATACTCGGCTGGGGACACCGTTAACGATATGATCCCCGAGGAACTATGTGCAGTTCAGTATACTCCATCTGATGCAGTGGTACGCATGATAAAGGCATGTGGACCTGGCAACAGAATTGGCTAAATGTGACATTCAGTTGGCATTGCATTTGCTGCCGGTGCATCCTAGTGATTTTGAGTTACTTGGTTTTGCCTTTGAGGACTGTTATTATATGGATAGGGCCTTGACAATGGGATGCTCCATATCTTGCACAGCATTTGAGTACTTCAGATCATTTTTGGAGTGGGTGCTCCAAAAACGCAGAGTGGGGGTCCCCCATGCAGTGCATTATTTAGAGGATTATCTTTTTTGTGGAAGGAACTTCCCATTGTAAATGCATCATGGGGTCATTTCAGCTGATAGCCAGAGAGTTGGGCGTGACTCTTGCTGCAGAAAAAAATGAAAGGGCCAGCCACGGTCCTCACTTTTCTTGGAATCGAGTTGGACACAGTACGACAATCTAGCAGGTTGCCTGAGGACAAATTAGTGGCCCTCAGGTTACAGTTGAGGGCCATGTTAGCTAGTCAAAAAGGTATGTTGAGGAAGTTGCAAGTAGTGGTTAGCCCTCTCAATTTAGCATGCAAAGTAGTAGCACCAGGCAGGGCCTTCCTTAGGGGACTTTGTGAGGCCATGAAAGGCCTTTTGAAGCCCCATCATTGGAGGCATCTTTCGGCTGGGATGAAGGGGGATTTGGTTGTATGCTTGCATTTCTTAGAAAGCTTCAATGGGGTATCATTTTGGAGAGATGAAATTTGCCTTGTAGTGGATTTACAGGTGCATTGTGATGTGGCAGATTTTATATTTTGGGCAGCCAAGCATGCTTCCCCAACCAATGGGGGTATGAATTTCGGCCTGGGAGCCTGAGCCATGCTTGAGTGGAAGGGACAGAGAGGCATGCCATGGGACATGTTCTGGGAATTGGCATCTCAGGATGCTTCGAATGTGCCCCCTGATATATTACTGATTCACCTGGGTGGCAATGACTTGGCTCAATGCATGGGCAGGTCACTTACGAGTATTATACAGGTGATTGATGATTTCCATGCCATTAAGGCCAGATTCCCAGGACTGAGGATACTCTGGTCGAATAAAATACCAAGATTTGTATGGTGGGCAGATTGTGACCCCAGATGTATCGACCATGCCAGAAGGCGAGTCAATCAAGAAATTGGTAAAGCTGTAAAGGCTGGCCTCGGGTCAGTGGTGGTACACCCAGACATACAGGTGTGGTGGCCCGAATTGTACAGAGACTATGGGGCACACCTGTCTGAGTTGGGATTGGATTTGTTCCTCCAGGATTTATAAGGGGGCCTTTGGGCTGAAATTTTTGGTGAGGGTGGCTGGCATGGGGTATATGAATAGTCCCTATGGCATGGCGGGTAGTGCAAAAAGTAAGAGATTTGGTGAGTTCCTCTGGGACACCCAAGGAGGATGTCAATCATCCCATCTCCCTGATTGGCAGAACAAGGAGTTATACGAAGGGGAATGGGAGTTAAGTGAATCTCCTGGGCAGCAGTGTACCTAAGGTCATGAGGCTCGGTGACTGAAGGAGTGGGAGGATTCCTGCAGCTGGGTGGCTGAAAACATGCTAGTCAGAGGCAGTGTGCTTCAGTAATAGGAACTTGACCTTGGTGGCCTGATCCAGTCATAAATGGTACTGTACACTGGAGTCAGAGGATAATTTCACACTACAGGAGGCCACCTTGGGAAGGAGAACTCAACGTTTAAATAGTTAATAAAGCTGTGGCCCTAGTTTTATCCAACACCTATGTCTCGTCTCTTTATTCTGGGCTGAGCAGGCAATGAAGTACCAGATCAGATCCTGCCTGGAAAACATTCACTCCAATGCTAACACTCTTTCCAGGCAACCAGCTTTTGATGGACGTGACAAAAGCTTACCCCAGGATGATATAATGAGGACAATATGGTAAACGAATGTAGGAAGAAGCAATCTGTTAGCTGCTCTAGTTTTTCTGAAATACTCCTGACCACACCAAGCTAAATGTACTGAGGCTAGAACGAAGATAACTGCTCACGTAACCATCTAAAGATACTTTACAATGTACTTTTAACACCTAAACATTCTGCATATTGCAGTTTTTTTCAGCTGTCCTTAATTTAAAGAAAATGAAAAAAAAGGAAGGCATACCTTCTGTACTTTTATTCTGCATGTAACCTTGAAATTGTTTGTAAATTTGGGCAAATGTCAAAGATACAGAAAGGCTTGGATTTTCAGTATACTTACATGACAGTAACCTCATAGCTCCTCCTTTATCTTCAAAATTACATCAACTAATTGTTTACGGCCTAGATCCAATTGTTATTCCCAGCCAGAGCAGACCAGTGAATCAACTGGCTACATGGTAAATTAACATCTATGCAAATCCTATTGATTTAATGAGTCTACTGTAGTTTGGGCTAACAATGAAGTGTAGGTCTATTTCTTTCTTTCTATAGTTTTAGACTAGCCTGTAAGCAGAATGTGGAAACATAAAACAAAAATACTAAATTATAACCAAAGACAGTACCTAATAAAATTAAGCATGTTTATGCAGTTATATGTAGAACATATCCATAATTCAGATTTAAGTTTTTCTTGGTAAACATATTCAATTCTGTTTTAGCCAAAAAAGGCAGAACTTGAAGAATGAATATAATGAAACAATGAAGTCCATAACTGAGCTGTGGTAGGATGATGTTGTAGGTCCCAGAGCAGTATCCTGCTAGTGCTCAGATGCTGAACATATTTAGAGTTCATATTATAACAGAATAATGTTTATTTTTTGTAAAGATTTGGAAGTTAAGTTTAAAAGTAATGAATATAATAACATGCTGGAATTATATTCATTCCATATCACTGAATATATATTCATTCCATATATTCAATTATGTGGAATGAATATAATTCCAGCATGTCATTATATTCATTACTGTTAAAAGTAACTTCCAAATCTTTATCAAAAATAAACATTACTCTCTTAGAATATGAACTTTAAATACACACTGAGGGACCTTAACCAAAGAAAAGTTCTCCCCATCCTAATCTTTTTGTTCTAAAAATTACTCTTGTTGTTTAGCTTTTAACCAAAAAAGACATCAAAATATTTATAGACCTTTTATGCAGCTCAACCTTCACAGCTAGCAATAAAAATAATTAATATATGGCTTTAAAAAAACAGCAAGAAAACGTGATTACTTCAGCAGTATTTTAGATGATTAAAATAAATTCAGTCCTAAGATATTTGTAAATTTCCAAACATTCCTGACAATTACCATCAAACAATTCTGTTAAGGATTTTTTTTTTTATGTTCAAAAGCCACAGCACACATATACTCAGCTATGTATAAAACATTTGTGAAAGTTTTCCTTAAGGGAAAATATTTGTTTACCATCCTGAACCAAAAGCTCAGAGTCTCCTTTCCCTTCTTTACTGAAGGGCAGGGGAAGAAATCACCAGGAGCCTCAAAAATCTCATCAGGTTTTCAATAGAGAGAAAAACTTACATGTCCAGGTTCTTCTTTTACTTCACTTGTTTTCAACAGATCACCTCTTCTCCTTCTTTTAACCTGAAGAAGGGAAAATTAATCGTTTAACAGTGCACTGTGCATGATAATTCTTTCCCTCTCCTTTACTAAAATCATTTTGGAGAACAAAACAACAACAACAACAACAAACAAAATTTGGAGAACAAAACAACAACAACAAACAAACAAAAACAAAACAGAAGTATGTATTTATGTAACGGAATTCCTGCTGAATTCAGCCAGAAGTATGTAGTTATGTAACGGAATTCCTGCTGAATTCAGCAGAACTTCCTTTAGAAATTAATTTTCTTTTAAAACAGCTAACTAGAGAGTAACCGTGCCTCATAGAGTGGACATTTTATATAGAAGGTCTCGGGCTCAATTCTATTAATTTCTCTGGGAATAAACTGTGGCCAAGACCATGGTGAGTTCTATCAGTCAGGCTAAATGTGACTAGTCTAGGTAAACCAATGATCTCTCACAAATTAAGATAACATCACTGTTGACTTGAGATTTGTTCTCCTTACTGGCCCAGGTAAAATAATGTTTTAAGAGTTAAAGAGCAAAGATTTTAATTTCAGCACAAACTACTAGAATAATAAAAAGTGAACCAGCTGCAGGGATTTCAAGTGTGATGATATTATTTACTGTCACCTGATAATCTTTTATATGGAGCAGGAATGGAAGGGCCATCCAATCAGGGTGTGGAAAAAGCTATACAGTGGTGGTTGTTCTGGGTTTTTCAGGCTCTTTGGCCGTGTTCTGAAGGTTGTTCTTCCTAACGTTTCACCAGTCTCTGTGGCTGGCATCTTCAGAGGACAGCAACCTGTGTTCTGGTGTAGTTGGCTTGGGAGAGAGGTGTTCTGTTTAGAAGGTGTTCCCTCCCCCCTTCCTCCTTTCCTGCCATTTTTTTGACCTGTTCAGATTAACTGGCTTTGCATTAGTTCCTATGGGAACTGTGCCTTGACATAAGGACAAAAAACAGCCAGAACAGATTAATCGGTTTTCAGTGCATTCCTATGGGAAATGTTGCTTTCACTTACAAACATTTTGACTTACTGCCACCGTTACAATATGGATTAAGTTCGCAAGTCAAGGCATCACTGTACTGCTGGAGAGAATGCTAATCACAACATATCAGCTTAGTGACCATCAAAATGTACTGCAGAATAACCAACACCTTTGGCAAATGTGGACACTGGCAACTGGAGATGGAAAAATAATACCAAAACTGATACACAATACCTAACAAAAAAAAAGATACAACTCTTTGAAGATTCTTTATCTAGCAATCTTGAAGGAAGCACAAGAATGATTAAAAACTCAATTAGCACTCAATGATTTTACTCAAAGAAAAAACATGCCTTGCATACTGTATGGATATGAAAGACCTCAGTTAATTCACGAAAAATTCCCAAACAATACCAACTACAGTGGTACCTCAATTTACAAACTTAATCCGTATTGGAACAATGTCCGTAACTCGAAACGTTCGTAAGTCGAAGCACCATTTCCCATAGGAATGCACTGAAAACCTATTAATCTGTTCCGGCCGAAGGAAAAAAATACCCCTAAAATAAAAAATTAAAACACTCCAAGCCCCATAGGAACGCGCTGGGGCTGCAAAAAACAAAGCAAAACCCAGGAGAGAAAGGGAGCCTCAAAGGCTGGCCGAAGTGAATGAGACCGGGGCCAGAGACCTGGCCGGGAAGTGCTGGCCGGCCTGCCTGCCCGCCTCCTCCTGCTTCTCTGGAGCTTCCTCACTCCAGAGTAAAAAAATAAGCAAAAAAATAAAAAGAGCACAGCAAGCCCAGTCGGAAGGTGCTCCGTTGCTGAGGGTTTAAGAAAAAAACATTAATAGAGAAGATTCAAAACCTTTCGCAGATCTATAATTTAATGGCTATTTAAAGGGATACTCCTTTAACAATATAGTAGCCTGTATAATTAAAATTGTAAACTGCCCGGAGAGTGCTTGTAGCGCTATGGGGCGGTATATAAGTCAAATAAATA